GCAGAGCACCGAGAACTCGTCGCGGATCAGCAGCTCCGCGTCCTCGCCCTCGGCCTTGCCCTCGAGCCGCAGCTGCTCCTCCTCGGCCACCACCTTCCCCGCGCGCTTCCGCAGCCGCCCCAGCGTGGGGATGAAGTGCGAGCGCAGCAGCTCCGGCCGCGCCTTGCTCACGATGGGCTGGGCGAACACTGCGACGGGCAACCGTGGCCACCGTGAGCCCCGGGACCACCAAAACGGCCCCCGGGACCACCAAAAAACCCCTGGGACCACCCCGGGACCATCAAAATACCCCTGGGACCACCAAAACACCCCTGGGATAGCTCCGGGACCACCAAAACACCCCTGGGACCACCAAAACACCCCTGGGACCGCCCCGGGACCACCAAAACACCCCTGGGACCACCCCGGGACCATCAAAATACCCCTGGGACCATCAAAACACCCCTGGGACAGCTCCGGGACCACCAAAACACCCCTGGGACTGCCCCGGGACCATCAAAATACCCCTGGGACCACCAAAACACCCCTGGGACTGCCCCGGGACCACCAAAACACCCCCGGGGCAGCTCCGGCCTCGCCTTGCTCAGGATGGGCTGGGTGAACACTGCGACGGGCAACCGTGGCCACCGTGAGCCCCGGGCCACCAAAACATCCCTGGGACCACCAAAAAACCCCTGGGACCACCCCAGGACCACCAAAACACCCCTGGGATCACCAAAACACCCCTGGGGCAGCTCTGGGACCACCAAAACACCCCTGGGACCACCCCGGGACCACCAAAACACCCCTGGGACAGCTCCGGGACCACCAAAACACCCCTGGGGCAGCTCTGGGACCACCAAAACACCCCTGGGACCACCCCGGGACCACCAAAACACCCCTGGGACCGCCCCGGGACCACCAAAACACCCCTGGGGCAACTCTGGCTGCGCCTTGCTCACGATGGGCTGGGCGAACACTGCGACGGGCAACCGTGGCCACCGTGAGCCCCGGGCCACCAAAACGGCCCCCGGGACCACCAAAAAACCCCTGGGACCACCCCTGGACCACCAAAACACCCCTGGGACCACCAAAACACCCTTGGGACCACCCAGGGACCA